AGGAGTGTTTCACCTTTTCTTGCTAAGTTGGAAAACTACAAATAAAAAGATCAAACAACCTACAAGAAGCAACCTACTTATATTCTTCATGTAATGTATGTTGCTGATGCATTCAGTTAACCTTATATGATATTCCATTTTGATGCAGTCTTTTGTTTTCTAATTTTTAATATTTTATATGAATGTACAATGTGCTATATTTTTTCTTTATGTACATGAGAGCATATGCACCAAAGACAAATTCCTTTTGTGTCCAATCACACCTGGCCAATAAAGAATTCTATTCTAATTCTTATTCTATTCTATGATGAAAATATTTAGTAAAACCTGAGAAACCTGACATTCTGATGTAAATATTGATTGAATGTGACAATCCTGGGAGCAAGGCAAAATTATGTTTAAAAAAGTTGTGATCAAATCAACTGAGATTTCAAGAGTTGTGGCGATTTATAATTTAGCAAATCCAAGATGAATTGTTTACAGAGTTCTACAAGCTTTAAATACAATATTTTGATCAAACCTGTTTACTGGGTACTAAGTAGAAATGATTTTGGGCTGTAAGGCAATCATTCATTTCTAAGCAGTAAAGATACATACAAAATGGGACTAATCCCAGTTAGGGCTTTGCTTATCTGCTGTTGGAACCACAAAAAAAGCAACTAGAATTTTATACATCCGGTCCAATTTAGAATTAGTACTGACTGCCAGGATGTTTCAGTCATTCCCATTTTTCCTACTAATATAAAACAAAGATTCTAGTAGAACAACCCATCTGCATCCTCTGTCTTTATTTTTGCATGGAACTATTCCTATGAAATTGCTTTGAGTTGTTTTTTTTTTGGTTGCTCAAGGAGGAATAAGTAACAGAGAAAATTTCTGGAACCTGATTGATTAACAACAACAAAGCTGAAAGCATGGAAAATATTAAGGATTTCTCCAACTCTAAAACATAATGTTCTTATGTATTTCATATAAACTCCCACATATGACTTTAGATTGAGGATCTATCCTTAATTCCTAATTATTTACTTCCTCTCATATTCAAGATATCTCACTGCACTCCTTTTCAACATATCATGTAAACTGTAAATTTTGTCATTTCCTGGAGCTGTTCTTTTTAGGGTAAATTGCCAAGTAGCACTTTACATTCCTATTAGTGGCTAACTTGTATGTCTAGAGCATATATTTTCATTGATACAACAATCACACATTTGTTATCAATGTAATAATATTGTCACTGTAAAGTAACCAGTTTTATAAATCTGTCCAACCCCGTTAAGTGGTTGAAGACAGCATAATGTTCTGATGAAGGGCTACTTTCAGGTACAGTTAGGTAGATTTTGCCAGGAAGTCAATTAAATTGAGATACCTCAATAAAAAGGTTGTCATATGAATGTAGAATAATCCAAGAGCCCTATTGTTTTAGTTTTACTTGTATTATTTTAAGAAAACAGTCAGTCCTTACATAAAGCAGTCATTAGAAAGTGGATATATTAAGATTTATACTTTCTAACATAGGTGGTTGGTTAAGGGCCACCTGTTCAGCAACTATTTCAAACTTACAACAATGCTGAATGAGTGATACTTATGATTGGTCCTTGAAGTGCTACTGCAGCATCCCAGATTTTCAGCTGTTGCAGAATCCTGTGCTCATGTAATCATGATATGCAACCTTCCCCCTCAGCTTCCCAGTTAGTGGGGAAGCTGGCAAGAAGACAGAAGTCGCAGTCATGTAGGGCTCTTACTTAACAACCTCAAGTGATCTGCTTAATAATGGTAACCGGAGACTGCTGAAACTGGCATTGTTAAGTGGTATAGTCATGTGAAGTTGCATTTTATGACTGTATTGTTTAGTGGCAAGAATTCCATTTTCAATTACTGTTATTAAACAAAGAGTACCTGCATAACAAAGCTCATTTAGTGGACTCTGATTTAGCAAATTTTGGCAACTGACAAACAACATATAGACATCATTTCAAACAATAAATTCCATTGTAATGCAAGTAGACTGGATGATTCACATACATTTATATGATTTAAATAAAGATGTTTATGCAACTGGGATAATTCACATCATTTGCTTGTTTCACAACAGTGTAATTATTTGCAGTAGCACAAATTGGTGCATATTATGTCACTTCCATAATTACATAAATGACTTAAAGTGTCTGAAATAATGTACAATAGGATTTACACAAGGATTCAACATATTTAACATGTTAAATATGATGGAAGCACCCCTTCTGAAATGAACTGTTAACACTGAACTTTTACTGCATGCAAATAATTTATTAAACAATGCCAAAACCAGTTTCTTTTAGCAATGATGTCATATCTGAACTGTTCTGAACTGTTCCATTTTTTTTATTTTCCATTCCAGGAAATGAGTCACATTAAAGGATAGATGTATAAGCAAAGGGCAATTGTTGGGAAATATTTAACTTAAAATAAATAAAGCACTTGGAATTCTAGCAAACTGCTGCAATATTCTTGCCCAAGATCAATTTCTGAACGAGTTTAAGTGTGCAGTTGCTCAGGAAAAAAATTAAATGCACCACTGAAGAATATGGAAGAAAATTTACAACCAGCTTGTTTCTCCCTAATTATGGCAATAATTGAGTAAAGCCCCTAGTGACTTTTACTAGCTGCTCCCTTTTGGCTCCTCTTAACAATAATAGTAGTACAACAAATCAAATAGCTAAAGACACATATTTGTTTATAATTCAGATTATGCTAAGAATCACTCTTTCAATGGAAAGTTAAATGAACTATAGGTGTTCCCTGATGTTTATCTCACATTGACAAATCAGATAGAATAATGGGGCAGAACACAGTAGCCTGCTTATGTAGAATAATCTGAATTATAAACAATATTAACTTAACATGTCTTGTAACTTAAGCCCCTATGAATAACCATATCCAAAGCCCAATTATTTTTATTATGAGATCAAGTGATATGAATTAAACCAATTTATAGCCGGACTTAGTTCTTTCATATAGAATTGTACATTATTTTCACAAACTAGAACTCTTTATTTTTCCCAAATAATTGTAAGTAGTTATTAGCATAATATTTTGTAATATCAATACAGGTATCTTCAACAGCCATATATGCCATTTATTTACAAATTACTTCATATATTCTAATTGTGAATATAAAATTATTTGAGTAATCTATGTTATCTATAATGCTGAACATATTCTCATAATTTTGTTTTTTATGATGAAATTGGCTCATGTTTAAAACCACAAGACTGTATCAAATGAAATTATACTTTTTCCACAGCTAAAAAATGCTTTAAATAATATGCCACCAAAATTTTGAAATAAACTTTGAAACTACTTGAAGTCTAGGCACAACTATTTAGATTTTGCCATTTACACTTTATACAGTATATACAGAACTTGTCCTATTATCGCTCTGAAATCCATTTCTTTTAAGTTGCAGAGTTATTCTACCGGTAATGCAGAGTTTAAATCTCAGAACAAATAAGTTTTACTATTTTATTGTTCTGTTCTATGAGCCTTTTTAGTTGAGAAGTTAATGATTTTTTAAAATAATAACAATAGTAGCTTGGGCACGTCCACAATTGTGGTTTTTTTTCCTGACATAACTCAGGTTTCAGTTTGTGGTTTCAGTTTGGATGCCATTCTGCTATTATATTATTATTATATTATATTATTATATATTATTATTGCTTTGTTATTATTTTTTTCTAGTTCTGTTGGTTTTTAATCTTGTGTTCATTGCTTAGAACTGCAGTTATGAGATGAGGAGCTATATAAATCAACTGATGGATTGCAACCCTTGGACCATCTTGTACAACAATGTGTTTTCACAGCAACCTACCAACTTCACAAGGATATTGTCTTCAAGCACATGGCCTTCAAAGCTAATATTGATCCCATAACTTCCATAAATTTGTGCAACTCCTTTCTGAAGCCAGCCAACTTGGTAGCCAGCACTATGCATCTTTAATTTACATCAAAGGGAAAAGGCTCTGGATAAACATTTATCCAGCTCCTATCTAGATTAAGACGGAATTATAGCTTGAGGCTTCTGGCATGAATGCCAGATGTTCTGATGTTGCCATCATGTTTTTCTCTAATAGATTGAACGAGTGGAAACTGTAGGTGAGAGATCTCACATGTGAATGCCCATCTATGTAAAAAGCAAGTTTATCTGAAAAAACAACAGTACACTGAAAATTTACACTAAAGCACTGTCCTTTTATTTTGCAGCGAGTAAGGTCCATTTCCCTTTCAAAATTTGATTTCATGTTAGTGTACACATTGCATTCACTAGCACTGGAACAAGGAAACAACTCTCTGCTAAAGTTTTCCAGAACTGCTATCAAACAGATCATGCCTGCCTTGATGGACAAAGTGCAAGACTCCATATGAGATACCTTCACCTAGTGCCACAACTGAAAGTCTTGTATATTTAAGTGGGTTCTTAAGGGCTTCGGGGGTTATGGATGCAGCTTAGATGCTTTTTAAATTTTGTTACATTCTCTAAGCCCTTAGAAAGGGACAACATAACATGAATAGCATCATGTAGCAATTTGTACTTGCCTATTCAGATATACATTCCACAGCTTTACCTGCGTTCAATTCTGTGCCGTGTCAATCTTCAGTGCTGGTTTAGTTTAGGTTGACTTCATTATCCTATGACTTAAGAATAAAAATATGAACATTAATGAACGTTTATGAAGAAAAACAAACCATTACCCTTTCCGAGATCATCCCGCCGTTTAAAGTAAACCAACTCCCGGCTATATTTACCTAATATTCTTATGCGCATGCTCAGTAAAGCTGGCGAAACCTTCTCTTCCCCCCTCCCCGCCCTTCCAAAAGAGCATCAGTTGTATTTTTTTCATCAGGCCATATCCTTGTGGGTACGGCAGCGGAAGCTTCTGCCCTCATTAAAGATGGCTAGGTAAGGAAGTCCCACCCCCTTATTCCTTGCACTATTATCGTGGGTTGGTGACTTCCACTTGCCCGATGGCGGAAGGTGGAACTTCCTGTTCTGACCGGGGCGCCAGTTTAGTGTGTGTCGAAAACTACGGAGTGGTTGGCTGGTGAATGACGATCAGAGTATCGGAAAAGGTGCTCTCATTGCTATTTGGGTTTGTGGGCGGGCATAGAAGAAGGCGATAAAACCGCGGTTGTAGCCGAGGTGAACAGGAAGAAGAAGGGAGAAGAAGAAAGAGAACGAGCCGGAGAAAAAAAGCGTAAGGAAGGTGCCCGTGACCGGAGGATGGAAGCGGAGAAGATGGATGAGAATGAATGGCGATATCACGGGGAGGGCAACAAGAGCCTCGTCGTCTCCCACAGACAGGTAACGGCGCCGAGGGCACCCCCCCCCTCCCCCGCGCGCTGCCCGTCGTTCGCCTCGCGCTTGTCTCGAGGCGGCGGCCAACGGCTCTCTGGACTCTGCTCTTTAGCGCTCCGCCCCCCCTCCCCATGGCTCCGTCTCTGCTCCGGCCGGCGGCACCACAGTGAACGCTAGTGAGCCGGGAGGAGGAAGTCTTGTCAGTCCCGGCCGGTCCCGGTTCTTTCTTGGGGCATCTCCGTTCCTTCCCCCCCCCCTCTCCTCATGCCAGAGAAAGCCTCCCTCCTGCTCCCCTCAGACTGGCCGAGCGCTGTTTCCGCTGCTCCCCCGCCAAACTTGGCTTGGTGGGAAGTCGCCAAAGAAGCTGTGGCCGACCGGGCTTTCGCATCCTTCGAACGGATTTTCTGCCTCTTTCCGCGCTCTTGCCAAGTGCAGTTTTGCGAGGGAAGAGGCGGGGTGGGGGTGGGGGTGGGTTTTTTTGTTTTGAAATAATTCTGTTCCACTAAAAGAATGCAGGATTTGAAAACGGTCAGCGCGAGAGGCAAACTATCATCTATTTGGGAAAGTGTGCCTTGGGTCTCCTTGATACCCAGAGGAACCGCAATAGAGTAGAATAGAACAACAGAGTTGGAAGGGACCTTGTAGGTCATCTAGTCCAACCTCTCCCCCCACCCCAAGCAGGAGACCCTCCACACCATTTCTGACAGATGGCAGTCCAGTCTCTTCTTGAAAGCTTCCAGTGATGAAGCTCCCACAACTTCTGAAGGCAAGCAATACTTCTGATCCAGATTAAAACCGTTCACCTCGGTGTCTGGAAAGTGAAGTTATTATAGTACATCATAAATCCAGAGTCCTTAATCATTATTACCGGAATTCTTCTTGGAAAAACGTTGGGGTTTTTCACCAACACTAGGCTGAAAGCAAGACATTTAAAGCTGAATGCAAAGTGCCTGAGTCATACTTTTAAAGCAATTGCATTTGACATCACAGGCTAAATATGTAGGGAAGCAAGCTGCTGTGATGTCCTAGGAGAGAGATGACAGTATTCAAATGATCTCTTATGTTTGGATCAATGTTCCTCTATCCAAAAATATTAAGAAAAATACTTTTTGTGGAAAAGTCAAAATAATGCATAGGCCCATCTTGGAAGCTTCTGAGACCTGCCATGTCAGGATTCATTCTTTGGCACCTTTTTCTTTAAAAAGTAATGTACTGTAGAGGTTAATGTCTTGGGCTTAAACAGGCATTTTGCATTTTGTCAAATTACAAAATGCTGCATGACTTTGACACATGATTACATCTCAGCTTAGGAAGTAAACTATTTGTTAAATGAGGGGTTAGCCAATAAATAATACGCATTAAAGGATTCCTGGCATTCTTATAATTGTTTATTTTTTCAAAGGTCTTAAAACAAATGTAGGAGAAAGATGTACACTGTGGCTTTTGGAATTCTTTCCAGTCCTGTTATCAGCAATCATCTGTAGTTAGTTCTGTGTTACAATGTTTCTCTGAGCTCCCCTCATGTTGTATCTGTGTGGGATGTGTGCATTGGGAAACATGGGCAGGCTGCATATGCTCTGCTCATGTGACTGGGAAGAAGGAGGGAAGGGCTTTGCCTTAGAATAACAAAGTCACTAAGTTTGGAGCCATTGCCCAATGGCCTCTCTCTGAGGCTTGCACTGAGGGAACTGAATTTTTTTCCTTTGTAGAAAAGATTGGCCCAATTTTTGAAACTCATCTTTGGGTTCTATTCTGCTTAGTTTTGGGAGGTTATTGTGTGGAAGCAGTGATAGAAGGTTTCTGTATATAAATTTTCTTTCAAACACTCTTTTAGGTTATAAAGAATAAAAATAATTATTTTATGATAACTAACTTTCTCACTGAAAATCATATTAGAATATCATTTCTTTGGCAAGTTTTTGGGAGGGGCAAGAAAACATACTCAGTAAAGCTCAACATTACATCCAGTTGTGATTTGTAAAGTCACAGTTTATTTTATGGAATGAACAACTGATGACAAGCCATCATTAGTAAAATTGTGATTAAAACATAGTTTGAGTAATTCCCATAATTTGTGAAGCTGCATCCCCAGAAGTGGCTCTTTGTAATGGTTCCTTGAAATTCTTTACATGGATTGGAAAGGAAATGATATAAACAGTGGTTAACCTACTGTATTCATTATGAAGATGCATCACGATAACTAAGCTTAATAGCAATAGCACTTAGACTTATATACTTAGACTTATATACCTATTATATTTATACATTATACTTATATATAATGTTAATGATCAACTAATACCATTTAAGTTTGGTTACTTTTCTAGTCACTATAATTTGTTTAAACATTAATGGGCTTCTGTAGAGTAATGGAAAATAATTATACCTAGAGACACATATTTTACAAAGTAATTTGTATTTATTGACATTGGTCCCAATAGCGAAAGAATAGAATAAAAACAAAACCCAAGGGTGTACAGAGTTTGCATTTTATGCTCTAAATGCCTTAAGCTAATTCTGTTCTTTTCTTCGTAATAGAATTTGAACAGGCATATGTTCAGAGCAGGTTCTGCTGCTTTTTTTCCTCCACGTTTATTAACCTAACAAATGCCATTTCCTCCCAAGTATATATTTAATTATAAGACATCCAATGACCTCTTTGATCATCATTTCAGAGATATTCCCTTTCTCAGACAGGAAAACTGAATGACCACAGACGGACAAAAAAGCAATGGGAGAAGGAATGACTTCCAACTTCCTGTAGGTTTCTCCACTGATTTTCCTTCTGGGAACCTGACAGGGAGTGTGGAAAATAACAATCATATGATTGTAGCTGACTGTTACATTGCTGAAATGGTCACAATTTTGCCAGGTTTCAATCCTAATGGGATTAATTAACTCACTTGAAGTTCAGAATGATAAGGATTGTCCCTAAAACACAGCTTACTTATTCTGAACCTGCTGACAGGAACAAGTCATGTTCTGATGTGTTTCTCCTCATATCAACCAAGAGCTGCATGCTGGATAAAATGTATTTGCCTATATTCAATCTAAAGGAAAAGGGTTTTATTTTAATCACTTTTATATTAACTGATAGCAGCCTATAGTTCAAATTAGCAAATCATATTAATTTTGCACTTTTTTTATATTCTAGCATTGCATAGTACTGCGCTTCTTGAAATTTCCTCCAAACCGAAATAAGGTGAGTTAGTTCAATGTTATTTCTTATTGTTTTTCTAAAGCGAGATACTATTTGTTTCACATTGTATACTAAAGTAGGAGAGTTGTGTGCAACTGCACTATGTATTACTTATCATTTGTTTGCTGAATTTCTAGATAAAAACATGAAATTTGCAACTTGATTAAAATGTACATCGAAATCTAAGGATATCAACATTAGGTTAATCTTTTTATCCAATTAATAAATTATATTCTTCGGTTAGTAAATTAACTTATATACAGAATGAAATATTATTAAAGGTATCTTTTGATAATCCTTAACAAAAAGCACATGAACACACGAACATGTTTCTAGAAATATTATTTCACAGTAATTGGTTCAAATGGTTTCACCAAAAGAACCATTTTTAAATCATTGATATATAGCTTAAGACAGTTATTAGGAAAAGCCCATGTATAATCTATGAAAGCAATAATCCATTGTCATTTCGCAGGCTTATATATCTTTACTTCTAGTGAACCAACAAATATTTATAATTTGTAAATAAGCCTGATTCTGCTTTATAAATGTACCTGATATCAGTGTGAATAATAATAACAATAACAACAACAATAAGAAGAAAATTTATGCATTGAGAACATTTCCATCCATCAATTTCAAAAGGCCATTCTGCTTAGATCTGCCCCTATACTATGCTAATCAATTATGACATACCAGATTCTTGGTATTTGATGCATATGAAGGCCAACAGTTAAAGAACTGGCAGCTGTGCTTTCACATTTCGTGTATATAATAAATAATAGTAATATAATATAATAAGTTGATGATTTTGAAAAACCATAAGAGAAGGTAGACCAACTAGACTATAGTTTGGATTATTACAAAAAGGCATTCAATTCCCTACCACTTGACTGGATAATCAAGTGCCTCAAAATAACAGGAGTCAGTAGAAACATCAGAAACTTTATGCAAAGATCAATAGAACAATTTCCTGGTCAATGCTGATAGATCGGGTCATCCTCCAGGCTCAAGCACACTAAAATCAAGAAGATTAGTAGTGAATACACCAGAAGAGTGAAGAAGATTTTAGAATTCAAACTCATTGATGGAAATACCAGAAAGGCTATTAGCACCTGGATAATTCTAGTCATTAGATATCCAGTTGGAATGATGCATTAAACTCAAGCTGAAGTAGAAGCTCTGGATAGGAAGACCAGAAAAATAATGACAATGAATCATGTCCTTTATCCACGCAAAGATGTTTACAGACTCTATTTACTATGGAGCATAAGTGGGGATGGAATGTTGCAAGTACACCAGACAGTTAAAAGAAGAAAAAAGGACATCGGAAAGACAATGAACAAAATGCATTGAACATATTATACCTTGAAGGCTTACTGAATACCAAAGAGACTAAATTAACATATAAGAAAGATCAAATGAAGAAGAGAAAAAACTATGACAAGGCAAAGTATTATATGGCACTGTGTTAAATAACTAGTAGGCAAAGCAGATAATAACAATAAAAAATAGTTGCAGCTCCGGTTGAAATGACGGGTTAGGGTCAGATAACAAGATCTGGCAATGGCTAAGAGCAGGAAAGTTGCAGAAAGAGGCAGAGGGGCTAATTCTCAGTGGAGAAGATCAAACATTGAAAACAAATGCATATAAAGCCAGAATTGGAAAGACAGCAACAGACAGCAAATGTTGCCTCTGTAAAGAAGTTGAAGAAGCAACAGACCACCTAGTTGCTGCAAGAAGATTGCATAGACTGATTACAAACAATGGCATTCTCTATTGATGGATTGGTAGAAATGTTTATGATTCAACTGAAATTGGAGATTCTGCCTGTAATTCAAGCTTTGCATCTACTGATTTTCTTGGCTATGGCTGTTATTTGTTGCTTTATTATTTCCAGTGCTTTTTTGATCTTGTCTCTAGATCAGGCCCAACCATTTTCCCTGGGTCACATCTGGCTTGCAGCATTGGCATCAGCATTGGAGGGCAGGGGTGTCAGCAGCATTGGGGACGGAATGGCATCAGTGGAGAGAGCGGGCGGTTGATGCAGCATCAGTGGGGAGGCAGCAGGGCATCATTGTCCCTCCACAACAGTTCCAGTTTCTCATATGGCTCCTTGGGAGAATTAATTGCCCACCTCTACACTAGGTCATATTTCTTGATTAGGTATCAGTCTTGGTCTTCAGTTTCTTTTCTTCCATCTGTTTTAATTTTCTTGCACCTGATCTTAGTACTTTGATATTATTTTCCAACTCAACATTCCATTTTGCTGATGCACTGTTTGGTTTATTTCTGCATCCAAGATCTTTAGTTATAATTGCATCTATGCTGTGTATCAGTTGTTTTGTTTCTTGAAATGAGTTGGTACCTATCTTTGATATTATAATTTTGGCATCATTTAATACTTGTTCAGGGAGAGTCGTTTGATGTATTGGTTAAGAGATCAGGATAGAAACCAGAAGGGTCTTGAGTTCTAGTCTCACCTTGGGCATAAAGCCAGATGGGTGATCTTAGGACAGTCACTTTCTCTCAGGAAGGAGGAAAAATCTTGCCAAGCAAACTGCACGGACTTGTTCAGGCAGTCTCTGAGAATCAGACATGATTGAATTGAAGGGGGAAAAAACCCTTTGGCTAGGTGTTTGTAACAAGCTTCAGAGCAATTATTTATTTTCAGTCTTTGTATATTTGCAACGGGTAAGCAACTTTTCTTCCAATAGTCCTGCAGCTGCTTACCCTGGTTGTTCAGCCCCCAGTTGTGAGTCCTGTAACCCACTTATCATTAGATGTGCAGGAATTCCAACACTTAGTGCTAGCCTTGTTGAGCCAGGCAATGACTGATCTGGTTGACAAAATCAGTCCATAATGTAAAGGCAGCTTTAGTTGGAACAGCTTATATTCTTATGACAATATCTATAAAATTATTAATCAGCATTGTCTTCCTAACCTAGTTCCTTGGGAAAGATTTGATAGTTAGACAAAAATATCAATCTACCATAAATATCTGGCTGACTTTGTGACCAACCATAATGATAAAATTTTATGTTGCCAGACTCCCAGAGATTCTGGGTGGTTTATTAATTGTTTGAAAACCTATTAAGTCAAGAAAAGAACACAAAACAAAAAAGATGGCAGAAACAACAAACCCAGATGGGAACAAAGAAAAAGAAGAGGGCTTCAATGACAGTAAGCCTGGTTCTGGGCAAAGAACCAGTCAGATTCTTGATTAAATGTAATCAAACAGACTAGGATTAAAAATATTGACAATGCAAATGCTCAAGTTCAGTTATTTTTCCATAATGTTTTTGCATATAATGGCAAACTCAAGATATTAGTTTTTCTCTCTTACAGATCATGCCCAATATATCCAGATTTGTAAATCTTACTAGAGCAGTGTAAATAATAATTGTTTCTTGAACAGTTCTAAAAAGCCTCCACAATTTCCTTTGAATTCTTAGCTATATATTAAAAGTATTGTAATTGTACTTATTAATGCTGTAAGAAAAAATGGGTGATATGCAGGGAAGCACATAACAATCCTAAAATTTGGGGTGATTGCTAAGCACTTAAATTTTTAACATGAAGACAGTGTAACAAATAGAAACTATAGAAAAGAAGAAAGGGGAAAAATCCATTGGGAATCTTGCTCACTTGAGGTTGGATTTTGCCCTCTATTAAGAAATTCATGGGCGAAGAAGAAATGAGATGGCTACAGTTTACCAATCTAGAATTCTGTTAAATTGCTCTGTTTCAAAGTTCACACTCTCAAAGTTCACACTCTCATTTGGTTCTTTACGCATGGTCCGTTTATAAAACCAATAATAAAGGTCAAAAGGGACCTTTAATTTCATCATTTTATGTTAAGATTCTAAAATAAAATAAAGTTAGCATTTGTTCAGGTCAGTATTGAAAAAAGAAATTGACTTGACAGTGCAAAAAGGAAAAGGAAAAAGAGGTTGTTGGTTCATGTCTACAGTACTGGGTTAAGTGCAAGTGGGGAAACGCTCTTAGTTGTCCCATCCAGATATCCATGGCAGTGACATGTTAAGAAATCAAGATATTTAGATTTTGCTCCTATGCTGGTTTCTCTTAAGGGTTTCCTTCATGCTAATTTAATTTTTTAGTAAATTCAAAAACTCAGAAATAATTGGCATCGTTATTTTATAGGTGAAGGACTTGATTTGACCTTAATTTCTGAAAACCATATGGAAGGCCATATTTCAAATTTGTGCTTATTTTGCTATTTTCTTGATAGGAGAGATCTTCTGTGGCCTGAAGCGCTACAGGTACTAGATTTATCTAAGCACGCAGTTGCCTTGGACAAACTGTAACTTTCCAGAAGAGGTGAATTGACAATGTTTTCAATGAAATGCTTAGTACTGATGAATGTACTATTTGTCTTGGTGGATGCAATTGTCTCTGTAGGCATGGATTGGTACAAATATGAGGCTTCTTTCAGAAAAGAATAGCCTCTCTGTTTCTAATGTTAATTACTGCTGCCCTTACTGTGCTAATTGCAACTGTTTTGTTAAAGGGTATCCTACCAGACTCTAAAAATATAGTTTGGAACAGAGATTTTTGTAAATGTTATTTGAGCTGATAGAAGTGGTAAAAAGTTCCCAATGTTGAAACATCTTTAAAAAGAGCAGAACAGACATTCTTTTTGGAGTACTCACAATATTGAGTACTGTGTTTTTATTTTTTTGTTCAGTTTATTTGTCAGTTCAGCATAATATGATGATCCTTTTGATTAAGATTTAGTGGATTTTGAGTTCTTTCTAAATCCTTAGTCAAACCCAGGGGTGTCGAACTTGTGGCCCGCGGGCTGGATGCATCATGTGCTGACCCCGCCCCCGCCCAGTTTAGTGAAGGGGAAAAAAGTCCCGATATGTCACGTGATGCTGCCGTGATGACATGAGTTTGACACTCCTGGTTTAACCTCTTAAGTAAAATAAGCAATTATTTTTTTATTGAGCTTCAGAACCTATGTTACTTATCCACATTTAACCTAGACACACAAAAGTCTGCTAGTATGACATTGACTTCTTTCCATAAAACCCAAAACATATTTTTATATTTTAAAGGTTTAAAAAATATGAAGCTTTCTTATAAAGACTGTATAAAATCATGTTTGAATTATTAGTTATATAATATGTTTTACATTCATTTAATCATTTCAATAAAGTTGCCTAAAGGTATATTCTGTAAGTATTCTATTTAAGTAAAATCTCTTTTGGATTGTCTTTCTTATCATTTCATGGACATATCCATGCTGCTTTTTTGGAAGCAATATGAAAGTGGTTGGCATTGCCTTCATTTGTGAAAAATTTCCACAATGTCTTCAACCTGGTATTCCCTTGAGATCTTCCCTTGAAATACTAATTAGAGCCAGTCACCCTTTGTTTCTGAGTCCAGGCAAGTCTACTGAGATGTTGCATCTTCTGAGACATTATTTCATGTACTGCTTGCTTAATTAGTCAATTAAGGATTGCCCTGTCAGAGAAACTGCTTTATTTTTGTTTCTTCTTATATTGCATTACTCTACCTGCCTTGCTACTTTTATATTAGGTTTTGTTCACCTTGATTCTTATGTCTTGATCTATTTCAGAATGTCTGAATTTACTTCTGAATTTACGTCTGAATTCTCCAGAAGTAAGGCCTGATTGTTATCAAGACCAAAGAATTTATCTTTATAAGTTGAATAGCTGTTATTTTGCTAAAGAATAAAAAATAGTTAGAACTTTTTTATACATAGAAAAGGACTTCTGGATCCAGAAACTAGTCTCTAACTCTTATATCACTATATCTGACAAAGGACTGAATTCAATTTTAAGGCAAAAATAGACTTTAATGTACTTGTATTCAGAATCGAATTATTTAACATGTTCCAATCAAGGATTGAACCATACACAGAACAGGCAAAGTCCAGAAAGGAATTTGTGTTTCATATGGACATAGTCATAAAACATGTGTTCCAGGTACTGGTATTCTGAAATAAGGACAATTTAAAAAAGAGATATTAGAGTTTGTATACAGTATGCAATAACTAGGTGGACAAAAGAAAGGCATGGGAAAATAGAAGGATGGGTGAATGTGAGTAGGAGCAGAGCAGTGTGTGAATAAGGAGAGGCAAAAGAAAAGGAAGGTGTGGACATACCAGGTATGAAGTGGACAGCCAGATGGATATGGTGCATTTGATTCCAAGTACATCAGTGCCACAGTGATGTACAGCAAAGATTAAAGAGGGAGTAGGAAAATTGAGTGAGGGGCAGTTGTACAAGCCTACCTTGCAGAGGAAGTGATGGAAGAAGGGTGAGATTGAGTAGCCTTTCCTTCTCACCTGGTAAGTGTCTTCTGGATTTGCCTTGGCCAACAGTGCAAAAGTTCCAGGTTCCACTTCAGCTGAACAATGACTTCACTTGGAATGATCCAGCTGGACCACCTAGCCATAGTGTCCCATGCATGGGACAAAACATATTCTTCATTTAATATGTTTCTAATTTAGAGTTGATATTGCTGAGATGTTAAAGACAATATTTCAGGAATAATTTAAATCATAATGGTGCTCATTAAATCATTATGCTGACCTAAAAATACATGTTGTTAGCCTTTTAAAAATACATGAGAGAAGCTGCCACTTTACTTTGCTGTTTCAGTAAAACTTACCTAATATTTTTGCATCTTAGTTTTTGCCATTATTGATTTCTTTTTCTATGAATCAGTGATACTTTGTTTCGTTTGGTTGCCATTGTTATCAAATTGCTACACATACATTTTTAGGAGTTATAAGTTGTACACCCAGTTTATCAGAAAATGGTCTCTCTTACACTGTATTATTTTATAGGCAAATAATTGCAGTGTGTTGATTGTGTGCATCTACTAAAATATGTATGTTATAGAGATACAATTAGAGAGAAAACTATGTTAGATAAAGGTGTGAATAATAATAAAAGTAAATATTTTCCCTTTTGCTGATAGGGAAAGGCAGTGTGATATAAATTTGTATTTGGTTTGACAATACAAAGAGTTGTGTTCTCTGCATATTTGAAATAATCTTTTTATACATAGATTGACAATTATTTGATCCAGAGTAGTTAGAATTTCTACCTGTTACTAATGTATATTTTCTTTTACTAATTATTTATGCTTGCTTTTTAGACACCAGAAGAAATATCTCATCATCTTCAGAACATAGTGTATTTTGGCAAACACATCATGAAGCACTTTTTTGGGGAGAAATATGTTCATCATGGGGTAATTATTATTTTATAAGTTTTTTAAGTAAGCAGAATTTTTTTTCTTTCAATGCTTTATAACCTCAGGTGATTGATTTTGAGACAAAGAAAAAAATATGTTGTTTAACTTCTATTCAGATCACATATATAGAAGAAGGAGCAGTGCCCAAAGCATCTGTTGTATACATTCAGAATAATTGCCCTAGGTTTCTTGCGGTAGCAAGAGGAGGAGCGCTTGAATGTGGCTTTCCATGATTCTGCCATTGATCCTTTTTTAAGGAATGGGGTAGAAATTGTACATGATAAACTTTTTAAAAATATTGAGATTGTGGGTCATGAAATGTTTGGGTGAAAACATTTTGTGAATAAAAATATTACCTGTATCCTACTACCACATGAAAAGGTGTAAGATGTAAATAAAATATTATTGAAATATAAATAAAAAACATCAACCATGTAATTCATAAGAGCAGAATTCAAAGGACAAGAATGCAGGCTTACCGTATATATTTCCCTCATTATCTTAATATTCATTTATACTGTACTTTCTACCAAGATATACATTTAAAGCTACTAACACAATAGAAGTAAAATAAAAACAAATCTTTCAAACAAATACTTTTAGAACATTAAAATGTAGGACAGATATTCCTTGGCTTATGTCCGTTCATTCAATGACTGTTCAAAGTTACAGTGATGCCGAAAAAAATGGACATACAACTGGTCCTTAAATTGCAGCACTCCCATGGCGATGTGATTGCAATCTGGATGTTTATGTGCCTAGCTCACAATTACACAGCCTGCACTACCCTCCCATCATATAAGTACAGCCTGTGCCAGTCCTCTTAGACCCTCTCTTGGTCTCTCCTTCACTGTCTTGCAGTATCCCCATGTTCCTTACTCAGCAACACTGTCTGTTTAAAGACCTGCACCTTTTGGGATTACAAGGCAGCTGGGGCTTCTCTGGATTGCCATCACTAATCACATTTTATTATCACTTCATTAAGTTAACCTCCCAGATTTCCTTATCTGTTTTTGACTTAGAGCATGTTTTTCTTTTCACCAGACTAACCTTGATTTTATTTTTCTAATTCATTATTAACATCAGATAAAAATCAACTCTATCCAACATATAAATATATTCTTGAAGGTATTATAAAGTTGATTTCTTTAAAAAAGAAATCTTCAAAAAGCTGCTTATTAAATATTATCAAAAAGGAAACAAATACAGGAAACTTATTTAAAGTTCACATTTGCTTAAAAAGACACCCTCCTGTGCCACTGCCAGGAAAGGGAGTGGAATTAGGGGACACCTTCTCTAGTCTTGTCCTTTAATTGAAAGTTGAGTTTGGATGATTCATGCATTTAGTCTGCTTGCTCTTAACTGATGAACTTGAGGAGCTAAATATTTTTCAAATTTTGATTGATTTTGAAATTGTGACCACATAAATATTTAGTAATGAGAGATGAGAGACAGATACAATAATGTTTAGTGTACAAGAAGCATTGGAATCAGGAATTACTCCCAAAATTATTAGCTATTACTAAGAATATTATGTAACTGAAGGAGTTTTTGTATTCCTTTTCTAGGGAGAGTTTGGCAAACATTATTATTCAAAACTGACTATTGAGCTGAACACTGAACTTTAGGGCAGCATTCTCCCCTTTTTTTTCCCCTTTTCACCCAAGGTTCCTCAAGGCATGTTCCTCAAGGCATGTTTACTCAGCAATCATCTTTATTTGAAAATAGCGTCATCTTGCTATGTACACACACACACACACAATCCCCCATAATCATATTTTATTATATAGTTTTTAAATTGTTTTACAGGGCAGACAATTATTACTGACTGATATAAAGAATAACTTCAGTTGAATCTGGCAAAATTCAACTGATAGGGGAAAGGAGGGAGGGAGAGAGAGAGAGAGAGAGAAGATTGCTGGTTGCTGCTGTCTCATTTAAAGTTCTATCGTGCACAATGCTAGTGTTATTCTCAGTTTTTACTCTCAGGAGCAAAAAAGTAGTCGTAAGTGCACATATTGGTTGGAAAGTGATTTTTATGCTACTGTTTACTACATGTTATTACCATTGTATTTGTGAACAATCATTATCCAAGTCAGTTGTTAAATGGGGATTATCTTTATTACACGGCTTACATATAGCAATAGGAATTATCATCAGTATAATAAAAAATATTTAAACATCATTTAAATCTTTTAGGAAGTTGTCCAGCTGTCTTTGGACTTTGTGAAACAACTTTGCTTAAAGATCCAGGCAGAGAGGCCAGGTAAGAAATAAAAATAATGGCACAGCTATTTGAACATAAAGTTGAAACAGTATTTTCTGAAACTTGACTAATCTCAACTCATGTGCAAGTTGATTCAGTTTTCTTGAAAAAAGTACAGAAATGTGGTTTGCCCTTCTAGGTTTTTCCCCCCAATTTCCCAATCTTGTTTATTGCCCTGTTATTCCCTTGAAATCTTCCATACAAGGATTATTACTACTGCTGAATAAAAATAAGAAAATTAGCTTTATTTAGATTATAACCACATGATTCTTGTTTTGTGTTTATTCCCCCAAATTTTAATGCTGTAATTACATCATGTGACAAACAGATCTTATGGAATTAATTTTTCAGTTATTAAAATAAACATTGGTGTTGCTTCAGTACAGGTAGTTCTCAGCTTACAGCCATTCTTGTAGCAACTGTTCAAAATTACAATGGCACTGAAAGAAGTGTCTTACCCCCAGTCCTTGCAGTTAATGACCATTGCAGCATCTTTGTGGTCAGCTGATCAAAATTGACAACTGACATGTACTTACAATGGTTGCATGTGATTGTCACTTGCGACTTTTCCAGCCAGCTTCCAACAAGTAAAGACAATGGTGGAAGCCACATTCACTTAATGACCATGTGATTCACTTAACAACTGCAGAGATTAGCTTAATCATAGCAAAAATTGTCATAAAATTGGACATGACACACTTAAGAATCAGCTTGCTTAGCAATGGAAATTGTAGTCTCAATTGTGGTCATAAGTCAAGGACTACCTGTAATCTTTTCGTACAGTGGAGCTAAACAAACTGAGATTTCAGAACTATATATTCCTTCTGAAAGTCAGTTCTTGAGTCCCTCCAGAAATTTATTTATATATTTATTGAATTTATATTGCCTCCTATTCTCCCATGACGACTTGAGGCGGCTTACATAATATATTAGATAAATTAGATAAATATAAATTGCTAACAAATTTTAGTTAATGTGTTATATGGAACAATAAGGTAAGTTATATTTAGTATAATTTTAATTCAACCCATATTGAATTATGCCAAATTTAACCTTTGTAGTCAAGCTACATTTTTGGAGTTTGCCCCTATAATGCTTCTTAGCTACCAAATATGTTTCTGAAAATGTTTGTGTAGCTTGATCTATTAGTATGTGTTTGTGTGTGTGTTTGTGTACACACACACACACGTCTATATATATTGGCTTCTCTTTTCCCCTCCTGTCCCTCATTTCTTGTTGGAATTGGATTTTCCATTGTTATTGAGTGTTGAACACATAATTAACTTGGACACAAATACATTAAAGTTGTAATTGTGAATATTTTACAGATTCCTCAGACATAAAAGCCTCTATTCTTTTAGAGTTTTCAGGTGGTATCTATGGAAAGTCATTCAGGGCAATAAAAGCAGGTTAGGCCATCAAATGCGTAAATAGTACATTTCCTCTCTCAAAATAACTTGCCCTTTTAAAAGAGAAAAATGTAGAAATATAATGGTATATTGTTTGATGCTAAAGCTGGTTCAACTAGTATTTGGTTGCAAAATAATAATAAAAATCTCACACAGGCTTTGCTGCAACAGGAAGCACATCTCTTAAATATTTTCCCCAAAGTTGAGTCAAATTTTTCTTTTAGTTAATGGGGTATAATTTATTTTTCCTATTATATTTTTGGATGAATAATTAACATCTCTTACATCTAATACATTGCATGTTTGATGCTATGTATGGCATAGATTATTTTTTATTTCTGCTTTTATATTAAGTAGACACCTTTCTCCAGCATAGTATAAACCAAGGTCTCTCCTGACTTGAGTTAGATTGTGAGAAAATAAACATGTCCATATTGGTTGTGGTATTAATATGGAAGTGACCTACCACTGCCTTCTTTCTGATTTTCCCCCCAGCTTGCCTATAAATGTACGATTTCCTGGTCTTCCATCCCAGACTTAATCAGGGCTGAGTTAATTAATTTAAATTTTTACAAATCATCCAAGATTGATTAGAAGATGCTTTTTTACTTTTGAAACAGGTTGATAATTCAAACCTTCTTGACACTTAAGCCTGGCTACAGTGCAGCCAAATTTCATATCATGATTCCAAATCCAAAGTAATTTTTAAGATCTTTTATTTTTCAAATAATTACTTCAGATAATTTTTAGCACAATTGCTACATAGATGCTGGATCACTTGTATAATTGAACAAAACCATATCCAATTACTTTTCCCTAAGAGTAACTTACAATTTTTATTGAACAATTTTACATGAATAAAAGGCAACTATGAAAACATGAATAAAGAATAAACTGGGAAAGATAAAAGAAAAAAAAGTATAAAAAGCAATACAGATAAAGAAGAAACAAAACAAAAAGATAATTAAAGAAATGACTTCTGATCTTCAGTGCAACATACTATCCTTCTTCCCTTTCTAAGATTACTTTGCAAAGATCCCTTGTATCCCATTTTCAGCCCTTTTTAATTTACACCACAAATTACTCTTTTTTTCCATTTTCAACAAAAAGTCCATGAAGGGGTCTAGTCTTTTATAAAAGTATCTAAATTTATCTCGATCAAACAAATCAGCTGTATCGTCTTCACGGTCCATTCTTCCATTGCTTTTAGGAAACATTTCAGACGTGCATTTTAAAATGTAATAATATGCTTATGGTAAAATGCAAATAGCATTCAACTTAGAAAGGCATTTGATTGAAATTTGTTTTGGCAATTTGGGGAAGGTAATAAAGGTATTAGTCTCCTGTATTGAATAGCATGGAAAGTTTATGTGTGTTGAACACAATAGTAGGTTCTGTGTTTGTATTCCACCCTTCCTTCCTTGAAAGAGTTCAAAGCAGAAGTTACATACTCTCAACTATTTCTATGAGTCTGTGCTTATTTGGTAATTTGTGGAGATTTCATTGTGGGTTTCTCATGACACTACTAACCACAGAAAGTTTTTTTTTTTTCTCAAAAAAAATTAAATGCCAATGGCTTATTGTTTTTTAGCTATTTTAAAACTATCAAGAGAAGAATGACATTTGCCATACTTTCTAAAAATATTTCTCAGTTAATATGCTTTTATTTGGTATAGCCTGATTCCTTGTAGGGATTTGACTGATCATAGAAAATGGTATTAAAGAGAAGAATTCTGTTAGTATAAATGGAAGGGCAGGCCTGAGAGCCATTCAGATTAACTGTATGAATGAAGGAGTAATTGATGGTTGTGTGTTTATTTGTAGTGCTCAAAAAGTTGGAATATTAAACATGGGTATAAGCAGTTACTTCTTTTTCTTTAGAATCACGCTGTGATAAAGAGATGGATTTTCTTAGTGGTTATGCTTTGTGCCTTCCTAATCTCACCAGGATGCATTTTGTTGAACATCGTCCTAAACTTTGTATAGAAATTAAGGTGAGTACATCAAGAATTCAATTCAATCAATACTTTGGGTTTACATTGTTGCTGTTATACCAGTTTCATTTTATTAGCAAAATGAATGAAATGTTAAACAATGTAGAAACATAATTTCAGTGTTTTGTTTCCATTAGAGGAAGTAACTATAAAAGATGAAATGGCATTTTGCAACTTCTTTAAAATCGTAGAAAGTTTTGAAGCTCATTTTAATTAGGCATAATTATTCAAAATAGAACTATAATATAGGACACTTTGTGTACCCTTATCCTGATGGCTACTTCTCACAAAGGAGATAGAATGAAACAGTGTTGTTAGAGTGATTTTGTTCCAGTATTCCTCCTTAATGACATCAAATACATAGAAATTATTCTTCTTTTTGGGTTGCATTTATGCAGATTTAAATGTTTGAAAATTTGAGCAGTTAAAAGTGTTACAGCCATTTAGATTTATGCCAAATAAGTAATACTTCTGGGAATGTATCAATCATTTTGTAACAAGTATAAAATAAATATTTCTGCTCTTTGTATGTATTAGGGATAACAAATTTGTGTACTGCTTTTTATAAGAGTTCACTGAAAGGCTGAACAATCCTAACCCTAACCCTCCTAACCCTAACCCTTATGTTATTGGAAGTGCATAGTGGGGTTGGTATTACTTTTAAATACAAAGCAAAGATGTCCTAAATTTTAAACTGCATTTTTTCTTGCAGCCAAAATGTGGATTTCTCCCCTTTTCCAGTCATGTTTCACAAGATATAAAATATAAAGTTTGTCGTTACTGCATGCACCAGCATCTAAAGGTAATGTAAAACTTAAGTGAATTGTAAGCTTTTGATATCAGAGTGGAATTAATACTCCATTTGAATATGGCAATTATAAGTCAAAACGCATTTTCCAGTTGAGAAGGCCTTTTTATTTACATTAATCTACCCTGTCATGTAGATAGAGGGAAATGCTTTTGTTGGGAAAAGTGTGAAGAAGCAGAATGTTAGAAATTGTAACTTTCTTAAACTGGGAGGACAGGGAAACAAAAGGCATGAGTGGAAGTGTCTGGAGATGTTGATGAACTCCCAGCTTGAACAGTGTTGGAAATTAAATTAACTGGAAATTCGAGAAATAAATTAATGCATATTTAGGAAGTCATATGTTCTGTTTGTCAACAGGTAGCAAAAGGAAAATGGAAACATCTAAGTAAATATTGTCCGCTAGATCTGTTTTCAGGGTAAGAAAGTATATATCTTATTTTTATGTATATTTCCTTCATTAAGCTTGTGTTATTCTTGCTACTTGCTTTGAAGAGTTAGCTGCTATATGAAATTTTAATAACTTTATTTGTAATACAGAAAGTTTCAGTCTTAATCACAGAGCTACATGATATATTCCATTAAAGTTATGGAAAGAAGCTAATGTACAAGTTGGAAAAATAATTGGAACAATTTTCAGGGAAAAAATGTGGAAAATTTGGGTCTTACAAATAGCTTCTAAGTAGAACTGTCTTAAGGATTAGAGTGGAGAATAGTTCCAGTCATAAGATTATAGAGTTAGAAATAAAATACGTGTTTGAATAAAATAAAAGATGTGTTTGAAAGTAGATCAGATAAATCAGAATGAACAAGTTTACTCTAGTTGTGGATTGGTTACACTTCATTTTAAATATTCATGTTTTTTATATTTTAGAAATAAACAGCGAATGCACTTCGCCTTGAGAAACCTATTATATGAAGCACAGAATAATTTAAAAATATTTAAGGTAAGGTGCTTTAAATTTTTCAAGAAAGCTTTTGTTCTTCATCCAGCCTATTTCCTTTATTATTTTTGTTCTAGTGTGCTTAATTAGGAAGCAGATTCTGAAGGTCCAAGCTCCAAACTCCATGATTCAAATAAAACAGCAATCAACACTTTGCTTACTGAGCAAATTACTTATACTGATGTTGTTTGAAATAATCCTTTTCCCTTTTTTATTTTCTGAAAATAATTCAAAAATATGATTAATGAAGATAATTTGGAAGTTTAAAGTAGAGAAATGTTATAGAAGAGGAAGAGTGAATTGGGTCTGCAAATTTGGACAGAAGTATAAAAAATGATAGATCTGGTTGAGAGTTATGAAGCTCATTTCAGAAAGCATACACTAGTTAGAAGCTGTAAGAAGCATACATTTCTGGAAGTCTATATGTCCATTTGTGACAGTCTTGGATTAAAGTTGAGCAAGGATCAGTTACAGCATGTTAGCATTTCTGTAATCCTTCAGAAGACACAGACGTCAAAGATTAGACATACCAGGGTTCTTCTTTGTTTTGTTTTATAAAGAAATACTACAAGAATCTAAGTTACATATGCAACATGGTTTCATGTGTTTGAAATTCGGCATTTAGATGCAAGTTGATTACTAGTGTGACCAGCCTTTTCATCCCAGTTGATCCTGTCTCTCTACTACAATTTGTGTGGCCTGATTTGTTAGGGTTGAATATGGTCTAGCTGCCATTATTTTCTGCTGTGGAAGGCTGGGGTCTACAAAGTATCACTGTGCTTCTTTGATGGAGTAATTCCCTCCTGCCAATTTTTTTTCAAGGTTTTCAGAGTCCTGCTTCATTCTCCTTTCACTTTCCTTCCGTTTTTCAGATCAGTTTCAGTCCCGCAACTTCTGTGCTATTCTTCAACCCAGCTATGTTAGTAGCAATAGCAATAGCATTTGGGCTTATATACTGCCCCATAGTGCATTACAGCACTCTCTGGGCAGTTTACAATATTTGCATATTTCCCCCAACAGTCTGGCTCCTCATTTTACCAACCTCAGAAAGATGGATCAACTTTGAGCCCTGTCAGGATCAAATTCCAGGCTGTGGGCAGAGTTTGCCTGCAATGCTGCATTTAACCACTGCATTTATATCTAATAGCGAATGAATACCTGATGAACATCAGTCTGCATTTCATCTCAAATTATTGCTGGCTGGCAGTCCCATTTCCTCCTCCTCCATAAGCAGGATGAAAGCAATGTAACAATCTCTAGCACTTGCAGACCTACATTCATATTTAGAAAGTTTTTTTCATTACCGTATTGGTTGATTTCAGGCTACAGCTCTTAATTATTTTTGTAATTTAAATCTTAATTTTTATATTTAGTATTGGGACAAAAATATATAGAGAGACTTTGATAGCTGCTCTTTGCTGTGATCAGGGGAAAAAGAAATATGAGGAAAGCAATGAATTCAGCAGGGTCTTAAAACTTCCTCTCTACTTGTTGCTTTTATTTTCCAAATCATGTATTTCTCCTGCTTTAATTTGTCTTGATGATCAAGTAGTTACATAGGGATCTATTATTATTACTAGTTTCCAGCTATGAATTACTCTCAGCTCTCCAGTTGCAAGATGCATTATCACCCACTAATTTTAATTCAGATTGTCCTAACATATGTATATAAGTTTTCCCAGTTTTCCTTTTCAGAATGGCAATATTATCAAAGAATGCAAGAAGGATTAAATGAACGAAGAGACTAATTAAATCTAGTTTACACCAGCACCATTCATTTTATCTGTTCATTCCTTTCTGTTGTTGGAATCCATTGTTACTTCCACCAAGCCCAAAAATTGTTATATATTGTTCTTTAAATTTTTCATTTGTTCTTTAATTTTCTCATTTGTCTTCGATGATCTCATCAACTTTATTCAACCAGGATTCCTCCCGCTTTCTGTGCATATCCATTATATACAGTAATACCTTTCATCATTCCAGGAAGCATTCATTTTCATACTTGCCGCTAATATCAGTCCACATACGTCTATAGCACTCTATGACATAATTCTTTTCACTCAGTTCCAAACATAATCTTCCATTTAGTTATTCATTCATTCTGTTGGAATTGTAATTTGTCTTGTAATACTTTTCCTAATGGACTTATGATTTCTCTTCCTGAAGTTTTATGTTCACCTAAATTCCTTTATTTTTTCCCTTTTGCCACACTATTTCCCCCCAACTTGAGAATATTGGAATATTGTCTGCCATATTCAGAACATTTTATTACTCTTGTATTCTTAACTTTTTCTGATTTTTATCTTAATAATTGAATCAATCTTTTTTTTACTGAACCACAATTCAGTCTGAATTTTTCACTTTCCCCAAAAACTGATGCCATCATTCACTGGACTGTAACTATGACTCATTTATGATTTTTTAATATAGACAATGCTGTACTTTAATTGTTAGATGGGCTAGATATTGGTATTTGAACACAAATCTTTTTAACATTCATATTTTATTGTGTTTTACTAATCTGGATGAAATGTTAATATATGTTGCTAATCCACGTATGATATGCCATATGCTAAATAAATAAATACGAATTTATATCTTTATATACACAAAGAACAATCTTGATGATAGAAATTCACACTTTGAAATACCTTTTAGCCTTTTCATTCATAATTAAACTTATACCTTTTCTTCAGTGCATGTTAATCATCAACCCTTTCCCCCAAGATTAGACCTTCCTTCAAATCTGTTTTTCTCCTTTCTTGTAGTTTCATGAACACACAACATATCTGCATTTTACTACTTTTTCCTTCATTAATTTATATCCTTCACATTTATTCTTCTTGCATGTTGAGTTGCAAAAAATACACAGTACAATACTAGATCATTGCCTATAGATATCAAGCTCCAGTACTCATTATGGCTTTGTTCAACCAAGGCTTTCAGATTGAGAAAGTGTAGACTAAATTACCAGCCATAGTCACCATCTGCAGCATATTCTAATAATGGTAAGATCAGGACCAGTTAAGTTTTTCACATACTGGCTAATACGCTGTACATTTTTTTAAAAAAAATCTGGTTTTACCCCAAAATAAACTCACATTATTTTATACAAGCTAGGATCTTATTTTAGAGACTATCTCGCAAACCAAGTTACTGTTCTTTGCATCTCACCTGTGAAGTACAGGGGGTATCACCAAAAGGTATAGTTGGGATATCTCATTTACAACAGTTGAATTATTTTTGTTATTATTTTAAAGGCATTAATTAACTTATTTTCTGTTACAGAATGGTGAATTAATTTATGGCTGCAAAGATAATGAGGATTCTCTCTCTGATTTGAATGAACTTGCTTGCCACCTGAAACCTTTCTTCTTTCCTTCAAATGGCCTGGTCAGTGGGCCTCATTGTACAAGGACAATTCTGAAAGAGTTGATCCATGTAATAACAACAATTCTACTGAGTAATACAGAAACCTGTAAAGCAGGTGATTTGAAGACAGTTCCCAGCTCACAAGGAAGGAGTTATTGTGAAGCCAGTGCTTTCAGTAAAGAGCTAGGGCGGAATGGTAAGAATTTGTGTGCCTTTTGCTGCAAGATATCTATGTCAGTTTGGCCTTTTCACATCCCAAAATATATTGTTTAAAATTTGCTTTGTTTTCAATTTTATACAGAATTTACTTTGCCTGCATTGGTTTGGAACATACAAACTGTTTTGTTTTTTTTAAAGGATCAACTAGTCACTCTAAGATGGCTGGGATACTTTCCAGAGAGAAGGAATTAAACAGAAAGTTACAAGTAACTGTTTATTCTCTCTGGTTAAACTGAACTACTGATGAATACATATTACATAATAGGAATAAGCCTATTCCCTTTTTACAAAAGTAATGTTTTTTACATTTTGTATGGTGTAAAATAAGCTATCCAGCCTCTCAGTGCTATCTTTAGTTAGATTTCCTTTCTATTTTCCTTTGTTACTACTTCTGAGTTAGATACTGAACACTACATTGTGACACACCATTGTTCAAGATATTAATGCATATGTCACTGTAGAAAACCTAAAATTTAGGCGTCTACTTTTCCAATCCAGAAACACTTAAATTGGTTTCTGTCAACCCAATAAAAGTATTTGTTTCATACTTGGTGCCACATTCATAATAAAATTATAATATGAAAGAGGTTATTCCATTATGTAAAATGTATTTTCATATACAAATTAGTTAAAGCAAATAGTCTGTTGCTAATTATTCCTTCTCCTGAATAATCAGAGAAAAATTGAGCGCATACAAAATAATGAAATATTATTTTTCTGAGAACATTTTCCACAAATTCTGAATGAACTTATACAATGTTTTACAATTTAGAATGCTATTTAGGATCATTTTTGTAGAACCTTCTCTTGTATAGGGAAAGACCAATACAAATATGATTTCATAGTTTCTCCTTTGGAAGATTTCTTTCAAACTAGAGCAAGAAACTGAATTGCAGAGCTTCTTTTCCCCATTTTTGAAATCTCTGTAGAAGGATCACACTTCAATTCTCTCCTGTTTATGCCCTTTGCTGTTTTTGATCAAAGAGATTGATACATCCATTGTAAAAACTGTTTGAAACTTATTCTTTTTAGCTAAAAACAAAATAGAGACCTCTGGCTTGCCAAGGGGATGTCTCCTTTACAAAACACTTCAGGCTCAAATGCTGGATACACTGGATATAGAAGGGGTTTATCCTTTGTACAACAGAGTTGAACAATACTTGGAAGAGTTTCCCAAAGAGAGGTAAGTGATACTAGGTTTCAGATCAGCAAAGTAGTATGGTCAGAGAAGACCTAAGTAGGCAGCACCTCTTAAAACAATGGTATAACTCCTCTCAGTCTTAGAGTATGACTTTATACTTAAGAGTTAGTATGTCCCTGTCACCTGACCCTAAACTGTACTATGTCTACAAATATACAGAATCCAACTATAGTATCTCTGTTAAGTCTAAAATTTGTACCCTAAAAATTGGGAAATTATTCAGTAGTTTTGTCATAATAATGAGGATCTGATTTCTCTAATAGCAAAGCAAAAATGGAAATTGCAATTTCTGTCCCCAAATAGCTTCCCCCCCGACATATCTGAATAAAAAAACTAGAAAGTTAACTTTTGGGCAGGGCGGTGTCTTCTTCCTTCAGTTTTATTTAATAACTGTCAGAGAAATGCTGCAAAGTGCTTATTATTCTAATTGATTTTAAGAATGAAGGTTTCTGCATTTTTCAAAGAAAATTATGGCTGTCTGCATTTGTTCCCTTCAGATGCAGTTCCTCAAAAGTGAAAACTATTCTTGCTACTTATAAAGATTTTATTTTTCATATGCTCAAATCATATAGGCAATATGCCTAAACTTTAAAGAAAATGAGAATGACAATAGATCTGGTGTAGAAGAATATTTTTTCTAATCATCAGTGATATCACAATACAAAATCTTTCTAATTTTTTAAAAATTGCATTTTTGTCTTTGTTTATATGGTTTATTTATTTTGTACAAATTTTATATTATAAATCATTTGGTGCAAATTCATTTATTTAAAATAAGGCCTGGTGATTCTGATGGCATACAAATTAAAAATGAAATAGCCTAAGTATACTTTCCAAGAATTTAGAAGTCCTTGGAGTAGAACAGTAGTACATATTTTATGCAGTACAGTGCATATAGAAAGTCTGCATACCCCTGTAAAATTGCCAGGTTTTTGAGATGTCAAAAAATCAGACCAAGATAAATCACTTCAATTTTTTCCACCTTTCATATAACATATAAGCTGTTCAATTCAATTGAAAAACAAACTGAAATCTTTTAGGGGGAAAACAATAGTAAGATTTATCTTGGTCTGATTTTTTTGAATTGTAAAAACTTGGCATTTTAATGGTTTGTAGACTTTCTACGTACACTCTACATTATTTTGGGGAACCAATATAAGTCATAAACCAGTGGGAGGCATTGGTATATGGAGAAGAAACATGTTAAGAAAATCTAATAGTGGGTTCTTCTTCCTTAAATAGCTCAGTGAGATCTGAGGATATTCGATGAACATGGTATGTTAGCTTATCATTAAATGTGGAAAGTAGGGTGGTAAGAACCTTCAACCTTGAAAATAGCATGGCAGGAACTTTTATTGCTGTCATTTGACACAACAAATAACCTTTTGCAGTCGTCATGTCATTGCAAAATCAAAGGCAAAATATTTATTTGGAGCGTTCTTAGTTTGCAGTGTTGCTTTCTTCATTGTTTCATGTAATTTTAGGCAGCGGTCACTAGAGGGGACAGTAGCCTCAATTGTCTCACACTTGAACTGTGGGAGCTGCGTTAAAGAAATAGCAACTGAAATAAATTTGTTGCTGTTGTTTCATGGTACAGAATCTGGTTTATTTTCAGTTCTGGGACTCTGCATTTTACTTTATTTTCTGAATGTATTTATTTTTTAGGAACGTACTACAGATTGATGGGCCTTATAATGAATCATTCTATGAGAAGTTATTAGATCGCTCAAGTGAGGATGATGGAACAATAACATATGCATTGACAAAGGTACCTTATTTTGACAAGACAGTTTCAGTTCTTCTAATCAAGTTCTTTACGTCAATCTTATATCTACATTTTGCATATTTACAATTTCATGTGCAAAAGCATTAAGCTTTTGCTAAAGACATAGGAAGATTAAAATGTAGCATGATGGAACTACTAAAGTTAGTAGCATATATTGTCCTTTGGAAAATAGAAAACAACACAGGATGCCTTGTTGACCTATCACTGTCTACTAACCTCAGCACCAGTTACTGTGGGATAAGGAGGAAGAAATTAAAAGGCCATCTAGGCATCTACTCTTAATTTTGTTTGGTGTGTAATACTTTTATTTCCATTTCAATTTAATCCTATCCTTGAGTGAATTTTTACTGCATTTACTTTCAATTGCTGTATACTATTTTGAGAATATACATATATCAAGTAAAATTGAGATAGAAATATGTTTAATAGCCTCTTCACATGAAGCAACATACTGAACTTTTTGCATGAAAACCAGATTTTTTTTTCTCTATCTAGTTTTCCTTAACTGAACTTACAATGTAGTTTTCATATAAATCCTTAAATATGGAAATAGCTACACACACACACACACACACACACACACAAATATACATAGGTATATGTACACGTGTGTGGGCATGCAACTGAATAGTGTAGTGGTTAAAGTGACACCTTTTGATGTTGGAGACCAGAGTCCCAATCCCAATAACTCTAACCCTTAAAGCTTCACCTGTTTTGAGTGAGAAGAACTACGAGTCATGCCAGCTTGGATGTCACCCAGATTAACCAGGTCCACTGGAAAAGTACCAGAGAAGGAGGAACTAGAGAGGATGTGGAAACTAAACACCAGTGGTCCCAGTGATAGTAGAAACACTCAGGATTGTGATTCCTAAATGGGGAGAGTAGCTCCAACAGAACCAAGGAACAACATCAGAGCTCTCTGTCCAGAAGAATGTAGTGCTAGGAACAGCTAAGATATTGCTCAGAACCTTAAAACTCCCAGGCCTCTGATAGATGATCTGAGATTGAGGATGATACAAACCACCCATAAGGGTGAAAAGGTTTTTTGTGATTAAATAGGTGATAAACAGACAGACAGACAATAGAGATGGATGGATGGATGCAGATTTTTAGTTCTTGTTGCCTGGTAGATGACTATAGACTTGATTTTTGTTACAGGTTCAGCAGTATAGAGTTGCAATGACAGCAAAGGACTGTTCCATAATGATTGTGCTTTCACCTTGTCAACAAGATGAATGGTAATGTCTATGATAAATATTTTATTTTTAAAAACTCAATATTTATCTATCTACAAGTATCAATTCAGAAAGTGCTGAATTAACTTACTGCCTATATTTATAATAACCGTCCACACAGGAAAGGTGGAAAGTAAGTAACGTATTACTGCTCACGTCCTTTCCTCTCTGCAATGTAGCAGTATCGCTGTCCACCTTCTGGGTCTGGGCTGGCACTAGAGTTCCCCCAGGCTTATGGTTCTAGGGTACTTTAGTCTGCCATCTCTGATTCCAGGGTTAAAGGTACTACAGCAGTTCATAACCTCCATGGCAGCCATTGACCTGGACCAACTAATTCTTGGCCCTACTCACACAGGGTCACACAGGGATATTGGAATTTTGTGAGATTTAGCAATCTTTAGAATGATAGTCATGAAAAACTGCATTAATTTTAGCACATCATAGAAGCCCTGGTTCTTGATGGCTACCATGTTTCAGTCAGCTGACATCTTAAGAGTTGCACAGTGGAAACTCTTCTCAAAAACTTTTGTCCGATATCTGGATAAAAGGTAGTGATTCTGCTCTGCAGCTTTTCAAGATGAAATACATAATTTTTGTGTGCAATGTCCAGTTTCACTTAAAGTCAGATGTTTCATTATCCAAATTGGGTAACATTATCAGTGCTAGTAATGATGTTACCTAGTTGGGTTAATCAAATGTCTTCAAGAAAACAACCAAGCTCAGAGAGCACCAAGGACCCCTTGATTTAAACCCTGAGTATAAACATTCTCTTACTGGTATTATTTATAGTCCATTGCATACATAGGTGTAAGTTTTTATATCTCTGTGTAATAATCTGAAGGACATGGAAGAAATATAAAACTAGAAAGGTTTATCTTCATGTTCATCTTTGATTTAAACACAATCACATTATTGAAAATTAAGATTATATTTATTTCTAGTGTTTATATACTTCATTTGAAGAGCTTCCAAGTGATGTACTAAAAGAGCATCAGTAAAACAATAGTGCATATGTCATAAATGTCAACAGTAAGGATTCATAAGAATTGAGCCATTTGTCTGTCGGAGCCAATAAAAGCAAAACCAGTCAGCCTCCAAGAGCCTTCTGAAACAGGCAAGCATTATCAAGCTTTCTGAAAGCCATGAGAGTGGGAGTCATCCTTTCCTTGGGAGGGAATAAGACCCTACAATGAGTATCTGCTTTCATGCCCCTTCCTATGAAGCTTCATAGTAAGTAAGGACCTCATTTGGACTGAGTGGACAAAATCTGTCTGGAAAAGATAGTCATAAGCCCCCTAGTTTTGAGTCATTTACATCTTTATACTTGGAGCACACCAGCAGCTAATGTCGCTCTCACAGCAGTGGTGTTATTTTGCAGACATGAGAAGTGCTTGGTTTTTCAGTCTAGTTTGTATTATTGATTCTACTGTAAATTTTAAAGTCCAGACATTCAAAACATGGGAAGTACCTCTGGAATTGGTGTTAGCAGCCAAGTTGCTTTCTGGGGCTGTAATTATTAATGGTATATTTTCAAATTGCTAAATTTTGGAAGCACATATGAGTAGAAAAATTGGCATATTTCCTGTCCTGTATAACAGTTGTAGAGATAGTGTCTTTACTTTCCAAAGAATTTTAGAAACAATCAATTCCAACAATATGGGAAATTCGAAGATATAATTTCAATAATAGATGTAAAGCTGTGTATGTTGCTGTGTTCATGAATGTCTAGGAATAGGTCTTTAGGTTTAGAATATAAATGCATTTATTAGAGAATCAGAATAACTTCCTTTATTCCTAGGTTGTCAGTGACAAAATAAACTATGTGAAAATTGCTACCTTAAGATAAGCTTATGGTTAACCTCTCAATGCAATTTATTCACAAAGCAGTACTGATGGTATAATTATTTAGGAAAGTTTGAAATGGTAGGAAAAGTTTCAAAAAATTTTTTGCATCACATTTCCTATTAGGAAAAGCTGTATTTTACTTAAAACCACAAGTACTTTTAAAATGCATCATCAGCTATAGCTTGTCATCATTAGGGTATAGGGAGAATTTTCATATATGAGGATGAACAGAAAAAGTCAGGTCATTTTTCCTTCTCTCAAATCATAATTATTGTTCTTATTTAAATTTCAGCTCTGAGCAGAGGCCAGTGGTTCTAACATCAAAATCAAGATTCACCTTTTCAGTTTCTGTCCTGGATTTAGACCTGAAGCCATATGAAAGCATTCGTCATCAATATAAGCTTGATGGGAAGATAGTGAACTATTACCTGAAGAGGACACAAGCCAAAGATGACTCAGTAATGTCAAATCTTTTAAAAGAAAATGAAGACTGCACACTAGTCCTCCATAAAATGTAACTGGCTAAATATTTAACACAGAGGAAAATTAAGTTATGTTTATTTTATTATTTTCAGTTGTGCTTTCAATTTATCTACCTTTCAGAAACACAAAAAAGTCCCGAGATTGCCTTGAAGAATGCATTTATTGTGAGAGATATGTACTATTAGTTTGAATGAAATGACTATTCTATGACTGTAGAAGAGAATTTGATTGTTCAAATGTGGAAAACCAGTATCCTTATTAAAATTCTAAATGCAGCTATAACTATATATGAATTGCTGAGTACCACTTGTTTAAAATAAATAAGGTGATCTGATCAAATTACAAAATTTTTGATTAGAAATAATTCTAGATTCTTAATACTTCTTAGACTGCTGCTTGCATATGTATTGTCTCTTATGTTCAAAGTGATCTTATGTAGTTGTTCTCCGAATTGTTCAAAACTTATTAAAAAGATTTAATGTATAAAGAACCCCCCCTTTCTTGAATAATGATAAAAACAATTAGCTCCCTTATTAAAAAGGAGGTTTTAGAAATTATGTAATGTAAACAGTTACTATTATAATTAGCTATTTTCAGCAATTCTCTGCAGCATATGCCTCATTAATATCCTTTTCAGTTGCCTAAGCCATTCTGAGGTTTCAGTGGGTAACAATTGAGAAGTTCAAAATATTCCCATGAATTTTCTCAATAATAGTTCTTTATTTTTCTGTCTGCATTTTTGCTTGACTTCTCTTTAGACCTTCAACAGTAGCCATTTGCTTTGCTAGGGCATACAAGTTCAGTAACAATTGGATTTTTTTATCCTGAGCTCAACATTATTGAAGTATTAAATGTTCTCAGCAAAGGGGGATCTCTCTCTCTCTCTCTGCAAGGGTTGTTAGGTCTTTTTTTTAAAACAAAGGATTTAGATCAGGGGTGTCCAACCTTGGCAACTTTAAGACTTGTGGACTTCAAGCAAAGCTGGCTGAGGAATTCTGGGAGTTGAAGTCCACAAGTCTTAAAGTTGCCAAGGTTGGACACCCCTGATTTAGACAAAGGATTCTTACATGCTGTAAAAAACTTGAAACCAAAACTGCTTCAGCTATTGAAAAATTGCTGGATTGGAGCCAAAGGTGTCTTGCACCAGAGAGAGCTGTACATCACAGGCTCTCTGAATTACGTTAGTGATGCAGAATCCTGTAGATGTGATTTCAGTGGGCTTGATAGCGGGCAAAAAGAGTTAAAAAGTGGGCAAGAAGAGTCTTCTCCCACCCCTGCCCTCCTTTATTTAAGAACAAGTTCTTCAATTGCTTCTTTGATGCCTACCACTTTTTACAGCCTGGCCTTTAGTGGCGCAATCTTAACTTTTGACGTTCATTGACTGTATCATCACTAAAATATTTATCTGTTGGAAAGTATCCCTAAAAGTCTATAATGATACTTTGTGTGGATTCCAATTCATTTGCTATTATGATATTAAGTTTAATGTTAATATTTATGAGTATCTCTCATGAGTTCTGCTCCTAGATCTATTAAGTAAAAAAATGCTGTATTTTGTGATATTTATTTGCCTTAATTCTAAATCTTGTCCTCCTAAGCTTGTGGGCTGCAAGTGAGTTGATGTCAGGTAAGGGCATAGTTCTGAAATGTGATTTGAATCTAATAAATTTGTAATCCACAATTAAATGAACACAACTTTTAAACTTATTGGTAACTGTGAATGTTGCTAAAATTGTTCAAAAACATTTTATTGAAATATTCACATAATACAAAGCATTTTTCAGAAAGGCTACCATTCTTAAAGCAAATTAATAGTAACTAGAGATATGCAAAGCATTTCAAATTTCAACATGTTTTGAAATAATAAATGACACAAACAGCTGTGCAGCAATGGGTATTTGATTTGAATAGGTATCACCTGCAATGTGAAATCAGCAATCGATCAAATTCTGCATCTAGAAAATGCATATAGGGCAAGATAAGCTACAAATCTTGCATAATGCTGTTTTGCTCACTGTTCTATGCAAATCTTTGTGGCATTCCATGTGTGAATCCCAAACTTACCTCCAGAAAACAAAATTTATAATCTTGAGTAGAAATTCCAATTTTCTGCAAGATAGAACAATTTTGGGATTGGGCTGACATAGTAAGCTGCTAAGTTTAATTAAAGCTGCATTGGCAGGTATAAAATGAGTGCTCATTAATCAAGCTTTTTAACTTAGATTGTTACATCTTACTGTCTATAACTAGGAAGGCATGGGATGCAAATATTGATTAAAATGCTCAATTTGAGGCTTTGTATTTGAAAACTGATATAAACTTCGCTTTTTCTAAAATATTACAGCACTTTAAAAGAACAGTGAAAATTTTACATAGCTACTTATCTACTTGGGTCACATTTAAAAATATTGATCCTAGGAAACCTAAATATGGAAAGATAATACTGCAATATTTAGGCAAGTTATATGCAGATTGGTGCCATCATTTTTGCTCTTTTTTGTACCCATTCTTTATAGAGCATGTGGTTAATAAATTTCAGCTTATGCCTTGTAAATTAAAATGTCTCATTTCTATTTTATGAGCATGATAAACCTGATTTGCCTTCAATCACTGTTTATGGAAGTAGTAGGTATGCTACTGTATGATGCTCCCGTAGCTTAATTTTAATTATTATCAAACTGTTCTGTATTCTAGAATCACTGTTACATATATACATACAGCTGTGAACTAAAACTGCCACTTTTTTTAGACTTGAATTTATCAGGCTGATCTGAGGAGATTTTAGGAACTGATGTAGAAGGGGAAAACCACTTTGATTCAGAAAGTTAATTTTTTAATGAAATGCATTCTACTTGTATCTGATTTGACATTTTGTATTTAAAAAGCTGTATTTATTTGTCATGACAATTTATATATATGTGCCATAATTGTACAGATAGCATGTTTTATGGATATGGTTTCTAAATAGAAGATAACTTAATGTTTATATTCAATAAAATGATAGATGCATAACTGGTTTTCCTGGTACTCATTTGCCTTTGGAAATTGAAATGATCACAGTTTCAATGCAAGCCTGTATCCCAACCATATGCAAGAGACTTCTGAAACCTTGTGGTGCATCTGATGCAAATTTGTTGGCTAGAGTGCCTATAAGAGGAGATGAAATAGAGAGTTAAAACTTATTTCAAGTACAAATAATCTATCCTTGGAATTTTAAAACACTGCTTTCTTCCTTGTCAGCAATTGGTGCCAGAAATTGTGTTGAAAAAAAAAGCCTAACTGCTGCCCAGATCTTAATGGATGCAGAGCTATTTGTCTATGGAGATTCTCATCCAGGTCAGAGTTGTTCTAAAGGTGCTTTTTCAAAAGGCAATTGAACTTTTTGTTTTTTCCTTGAGGACTTCACTTCTCATCTAAGAAAGAAGGTCACTCTTTTGAATACAGCAAAGTCCACATTGAAAGAGGGGTCAAAGAGTTCATCCGTGTTAAAATTGAACAGCCCTCTTAACAGCAGGCAAGTGATACGACACCACCTATTTCCTGTTTACAACACAGTTCTTTCAACAATTCCAAGAAGATTCCACAACTAAGTGGCCCCGATGACGCTCAGAGAGAGTACTAATGATCAGATGACTGCAAGGAATATAAAACCTTCCATTCCCTCCCACCATTCAGTTAGAACTGAAGAAACTTCGTGAATAAGAAGCGAAACATCCTCAGGGAAAAAATAAAGTCCAGTTGCCTTTTGAAAAAGCATCTTTGGGACATGCAGAGCTATATTTCTCTTTAATTGAGTCTCTTTAATTGAGATGTCTCATGAAAATTGCTACCTCTGGCCTGACAAGAATGAAAATATTCAGCCCACTAGGACTATTCGATATCTTTCTGTATCTTTGGAGTTTCTCCAAAAGGAGAGACTGTTGGGTGGCAGGCAACAATGTAAACATAGTAAGAAGATTGTCAAAAACAAAACTCAAGGAGATGATTGTGACAAAATTTTACCTTGTAGTGGTATTTTGTTCAAAAGATCCAAAACTGGTATAATATTTCCTTTTTCATCTACCTGTATCTTCCAAACAATCATTAACTCAAATCTATAAAAATCAGAAAACACAATTAAAATGAATGCATACATATAGATATTTTCTCACAGAGTAGACAAAATTCACTGCATAAAAGACTTTATTTTAAATACTCTCATCTCATGCAAAGGCCATTTGGAACTCAGTAGTATAAAATATAGTGGTTTGAATTCCTGGGCTTGGTATACTTTTCTGGTGGATGAAAAGCCGAAAATAGTTGAAAACGCACAGTTCCTCAATTAGATTTGGTGCACCCATATTGGCTTTTTTTTGATTTCCCTTATTTTTTTCCCTAACAAAGTTGTACCTAAAAGACAATTAGAAGTTGTTTGAAGGAGATTGGGATCTGTATCTGTGTCAGTACAAAAACTTTGGATACTCAACAGAATTGGACCAAATTTGAGGATGGCATGAGGCCAGGGGCTCTGGAGAAAAATATATTCTCCCAATTCTCCCTATGAGAGAGGCAGTTGGGCAGGGGTTCAGAATGTTGCCATCCAAGTCCCCTTGTCATATGACCAGAGTAGCAGGAAAGCTACTCTGTCTCATCCTGAACTTCCTAGTGCTCACATAGATACAACATAGGCCTTTTGAGAAAGAAAAGAATCCAGAAGCTATGCTGTGGATCCTTTTCCTACCTATTTATTAATGACCTTTATTGTCAGAGTACAACATGTGTACAATGAGATTGGCTGAGCCTCCCTTTGTGCACCCCACCCCCAACACAACTCACACTGAGGACAGAAATCCCTAACCCAGTCCTAATCTTATTACACTATGTGACCTTGTTATACAATGCACCGGCCCCGCAAGTCTATCATACTATGTTGACATGAAGTTATTTTCCATTCAGGAGTCTGACAGCCCACGGGTAGAAATTGTTCTTCAGCCTATTGGTGCAGCTGGCTATGCTTCTATATCTCTTACCCAATGGTAGGAGAGTGAAGAAGTGCTGACCGGGATGTGAGTTGTCCCTGAGAATTGAATTGAATATAAGAATACCTTGCTTTCTTATTTGGATTGCGTCATTTTGCTTTAGTTTCATCATTTTTTAGAACTCCCATCTATCTTGAGCTCCTTTTCCCATTTGCTTTTCCTGCCATGGAATTATTTCTTTCAGTGTATTAAAATAAACGATTGTTTGTATTTATTTTTTGTGAATGTTTTTACTGTGTTAATGTTTTTAATTGCTTTGTAATTTTAGAATAAGCAAGGTGTCCAGAGTTATTTATTTGAGTCAGGTGGCTGTAGAAATTGTGTGTGTGTGTGTGTGTGTGTATATATATATATAAATTCAAGATATAATCTTTCCTATTGAATGATACCAAATCAAGGACAGCTGCTACTCTTGTTGGATTCGTTCATGCTTTAAAGGAGAAATCAGAAATTTCTAGAAGGGCTTGGAAAAATTGTCCCTTTATAGAGATGCTGTAATAAAGCCCATCATCATTACTATTTCAGACCTTTTCAAAAGGATCTGTAAGTTATATTTAAAGAGAAGCTTTTACATGTCCTAGATAGGGTGACACCAAATAATCTCTATAGTATTATCAAGTTATATTAAATGCAAGACAAGAAAAAATGGATGTAAACTAACCAAGGAGAGAAGCAACCTAGAACTAAGGAGAAATTTTCAGAGAAACGGTGAGAGCAATTCATCAGTCGAATCACCTGCTTTTAGAAGTTGTATGTGTTCTATCTCAGGGGTCTCCAACCTTGGCAACTTTAAGGCTTGTGCACTTCAACTCCCAGAATTCCTCAGCCAGCAAAGCTGGCTGAGGAATTCTGGGAGTTAAAGCCCACAAGTCTTAAAGTTGCCAAGGTTGGAGACCCCTGTTCTATCTGAAGGCTTTCAAAAAGAGAGTGGACAACCAGTTGTCTGAAATGATACAGGGTCTTCTGTTTGATCAGAGGGTTGGACTAGAAGACCTCTGAGGTCCTTTCCAACTCTTATTATATGTTCTAAATTTATTGTTTTGGATGTTTTAAAACAGTGTAGAGATTTTTGTATATAGAGTGCTTTTCTCTTTTAATTGTGTTGATTTATTTTCAGCATTTTAAAAAAACTATATATTTTTTAAATAGTTGATTCAAAATGTTTATTTTATTTTGAATTTATTTTGAATTTATTTTTCTTTGGGGGAGCGGAAATAGTGTGCTTTCCCCATAAGCTATGGCTTTTCAATATTTTAAGCTATGCTATAGTTGATAAACATGAGAGCTGAAATGTGCTTCTTTATGGCTTGTAAAAGAACCTGGTTTCTCGCTTTCCCTGAAGTACATTGCTTTAATATCCTTGGGGTCTTTGAATGAGAAAAATATGGCTACTGCTATTATGTCCCTGCATCACAGCTTCTATAGATATCTGCCCCCACATATGAATCAGTTAAGTTGCCTTACTCGGGAAGCTGAGTGCTTCTTAAGAGCATGTAATCTCCATGTGATCCTTCAGGAAGTGCTACAACATCTGGATACTTATTCTATAAAAAAAAAAAAGATAAATAGTATATTCTATACAGAAGTCAAACCTAAATCAGACACTACAAAAAGTGCAACTCTTATAAGGCATGCAGCTAATTAGTTTATGTACAACAGAGCTTATGAAATTTAACCTCTTAACTAACAACTTTTATTGCATTGGCAGCCCTATCATGAATATGTCAAAGGATGTATTAAGATGTTTGCTTTATTTTTATTAGCAATATTGGAACAATGATTCACCTCAAGATAACTAAAACAGACTGATAACTTTGTCACTTGACTTCTGCACATACTGGCTAGGGGAGCTGGTTGTAGACATACAGATAAGATTTTATTGGTGCTTCAAAATAAATAATCTACCTGTACTTATAACCATTCACTTTGCAGTTGACTAATTATGTATCTTCAAGTAATTGACTCTTGATGACCACATAGATAAATCTCCATGACACATTCTAGCTAACATTCTAATAAAATTAATAGGATATGAGTAATTAAAAAAAAGAGTATCAAATAAATGTGAGATTTTAATAAAAAAACTTCTAGTGAATGTTCTATTTTATAACAGAAGTACAGAAAGAAAGAGCAGCATGATGGCTCAGTGGTTAAAGATGAAAGCTGACAACCCAGTTTCAAGACCCGAGCACTACACAACAGGCTGAACTCCCGTTCCTGGCCTAACACTTAGCAGTTTGAAAGCATGCAAATGTGAGTAGATAAATAGGTACCATTTCGATGGGAAGGCAACAGCATTCTGTGCACCTATGGTATATAGTCTTGCTACCACATGACCATGGAAAATGTCTTCAGACAGCACTGGCTCTCTCAGCCAAGAAATGGAAATGAGCACCATGCCCAAGAGTCGGACACGACTGGATAGGGAAAGTTTTATTTTTTTACAGGAAGAAAGCTTGGAGGCTGTTCTGAGAACTTAAATAGGTAACTCAAATGGCACACTAGTGAAAATAAAGAGGTTCCTATTGGGTAGCCCAAAAGCTGAAATTAAGTTTTGATCATTAGATCATAATTCTTATAATCTTGCTATGAAGAGATAAGATAGCGATAGGTAAGGTAAAGGTTTTCCTCGCACATATGTGCTAGTCGTTCCCGACTCTAGGGGGCGGTGCTCATCTTTCAAAGACAAAGAGCCAGCACTGTCTGAAGATGTCTCCATGGTCATGTGGCCGGCATGACTAAACCCAAAGGTGCACAAAACACTGTTACCTTCCCATCAATGGTGGTCCTTTTTTTTCCTACTTGCATTTTTTACATGATTTCGAACGGTTAGGTTGGCAGAAGCTGGGACAAGTAACGGGAGCTCAACCCATTACACGGCACCAGGGATTTGATCCACTGAACTGCTGATCTTTCGATCGACAAGCTCAGCATCTTAGCCACTGAGCCACGCGTCCCTTAAGATAGCCATAAATCAATATTAAAGAATATATGAGGTAGTGGTATACAAGACAATCCAACAGCTATTCAAAACCTTCAATCAACAAGCCAACACAATGTTAAGCAGTTAATATCTAAAGGCTAGATAATAAAGAAATTGTCAGTGAGCACATCTTAACAAGCTAAGTACCTCTAGGGTCAGAATCAAGTCAACACATTAGATATTGTTGGGAACAGTGTCTTGTGATCTGTTCTAGGAGGTGAAGGGAGTGAAGTTAGAAGGCATTGCTTTTCAGTCAATACTTGGTTTCAATGGACTGTGATACATTCATTCGTTTCATTATCTCCTGCTTATGCTGGGGTTTTATGATGTACTGATTTTAAGATTATACCATCGATATTTTATGTTTTAATTATCCTGCATATGCTATAGATTGCCAAGAGTTGTGGGCTTACAACAAAGTACAAATTTAAGGAATGGATAGCTGGATAATAACACAAAGGAAATGGCATGCAGCATGGCAGCTGATGTATTAAAATAATTGCAAGGGCAAAAGACAACCAGATAGGAACATCAGAGAAAGAAAGAAGGAAGCTGGCAATGGAACTGGTAAATTTTAAAGTTTAATGGAGCATAGCTAGAATTCTCCTTAAAAAGATAGCAGTAAAATAATATAAAAAAGAGATTAAATCCACTGCAATGACTTTGATTAAGGCAAAAGCCTTTAAGAAGAATAAAAACTACGAGGCTTCCAGACACACGTAGAAGAATGGAGATTTAAAATACACACTCCCAGGTAAATATGCCCACATCTGCATGACATTTGCTTCTCTTGGAAAAGGAAAGAAAAGGAAAGGTGAGGGTCTGGGAAGAACAAGAGTACACATTTCTGGATAAAGAAGGAAAGGAAGGAAGGCAGTGCCAATCTGTCCTCCCAGCATAAGAAAAGAGAATCCCAAGGAAAACAAGGAAAACAAATACAGAAGCAAATCCACTTTTCTCTTTCTCATTATTATAGGGGAGAGACTGGCAAAGGATTGTTAGGATATTCCATCCCATGTGTCTGATTTGGCTAAAATATTTTTCCACTTTGTTTCCTCTGAGGAAACAAAATTCTTAATTTTGGTAGGATTTCCCAGGCTCCATCTTTTATTTCCCAAAAAGTTTCCAAGAAGGCCAGTAGATCATGGCAAACCAGCTGTCAGATTCCTCATGGTTTTACAAAGTTCCCATGATGATCAGCAATTTTAATGAGAAGATATTGAATGGATATTTGCATAACTTTGGGTAGTCAAAGTACCTTGCATGGAAAGCTCAGTGTTGGATCAGTTTAATGTTTGATTCCCCAACTCCTGCAGGAATTTGGGTGCACACAAGAGGGCTATCAGGCATCTGCTTTTCTGCCAGACTAAGATCTTTTTTACAAGCCACACCAACTTGATAAATAAAAGTACTACACACACACACACACACACACACACACACAGTATAAAGAGTATAAAGAGCACTTCCCATTATTTCTGCCAATTAATTAAGCACTGTCAATTAATAGCAATTAGGACTTCGTTAAGACAAAGTGAAGCCTTATTGCAGAAGACGGTAAGAGATGAATAGTGATTATATACAAAGTATACAAATGATCCATCTACAGCAGGGGTGTCAAACTGGCAGCCCAAGGGCTGGATGCCACGCCCATTCCAGCTCTGCAAAAGCAAAAAACATCACAATACGTCAGGTGACAGCAACTGAATTTGACATCTGTGATTTATAGTATGTATAATACAAATTCAACTATAGCTGTGTGATCGTGTAATCTGATGGATTCTGTTCATCTTTTTCAATAAGGCTCAGCTTTTTTCAATTACAGATTGTTATTAAAAAGGCTGAGAAAGTCCTGGCTCTCCTGATTTGAATTACTAGGTTTTCTTATCTCTATGATACTCCTTTAAAGGATACTAAATAGGCAGAAAGGCAGATATGAACAAGGAAACTATCAGAATGCTAATTTCTGACTGAATTATTGTGTGCAGCAAGGAATACAGACCTCTTATAGAGAATAATTATATATTATATGAATAATGCCATTTATAATTACAGTGGGCTAGATGAATATTTTCACTTAATTTAGAGTCAGGTTAAATGAAGAGTATTTTGAGCTCAGTTTAAAAACAGAATCATGAACATTCCGATAGACCTTAAAATATGTTGCCTATGAATCAAAGTATTAGAAAGTCAACAATTTTTTCTAAAATAAGGAAATGCAATCAGCTTGTGTGATTACAACAAAGTAGCAATTAAAGGGAAAGTAACAGATTCTTCTGCTCTTAAGTTGGGTTAAAAAATAGCATGTTATAGACCCCATATTTATTCTTGGTGTAGTTGAGGAAATGGAAAGTATGTTTAACTAGGCCAACATGTTATATCATTTGAAAATTCATTATTTTTCCAGAACCTGTAGAAAGCTAAGAGTTTAAATAGATGTTCCTCAGATTTTAGAAACATTGCCATGTCTGGAATTGGTTTTTCCAAGCCTCATATAAGCAGTCACCCATGATATACGCCAAAACTAGCTTGCTGGAAGCAAATATATATCCATTTTGGTTTCTTCTTGTCATTCAAAACATTTTTTCTTGCTTACATCTTTTTTACCTCATGCACTTTATATAATGTTAATTATGTTTTGGAACATAATTAATGAGCTAATCAAATACTAATTGCATAGCCCAGAGTTTTAAATCTTTTCTTTAATTTCCAAATACATGAAATGTTTGCAACTTGTAGACTACAACATGTGAACAGTTCAGAATAAACCAGTGCAACAAAGGTTAATATTATAATAGTCAGGTGCCAAAGATAAGCAAGATAATTCACTGGGGTGGTGACATCGGAAAGTTTGCAACCTTATTAATCTCATTATAGGTCAAAGAAGAACATGAAAAGCTTATGGTTGTAACTACTAATCTTCAAACCTTATTCAACTTATATTCAATTTTATAAAGAGTAAAAGGAAACTGCCCAGAGAAATAAAACTTTCATAGCAGGCAAGATAACTGGTGTAGTTAATAAAGCTGAGCCCTCAAGTTCCCCTTGTCTCTTCACAATTGAACACAGGCTAAGATCTATTTCGGCCTATTATTTCCAGTAGGCTTACTTTCCTCAAATTCCCAGTTCCGGGCTGTGTCCGGTAGCAAGTTTGCCTGGTTCATATATTTCTCAAGCATAGAAAAATAACTAATTGGATCATGAGAGCTCTAAGTTAAGGATAAGTGATGAATGCCTACAATGACCACTCTAAAAAGGAGAGAAGCCTAATGGGCACCTCAAGTAATGCCCACTTACTGTAACTATTGAAGTTGCTATGCATTATTTGCAATGCAAATAACTACTACCCTCATAATTAGAAACATGTTTCTTAACTTGCTGGACTTGAATTCTCATGTTATAGGAATTATGAGTGTTGACATTTCATACATCTGGAAGCCACGGCTTTGAGCCCGTGTTACAGATTAGAAACAAAGCAAAGATGTTTGATATTTGACTACATAAACTCTATACCACAATTTTATGTTTCACATGTCCCGACAAATGGAGCTACTGAATCAG